CATAGTGGTAAGTATACTTACCACCTATTTATTCTCACATTTTCATGAAATATTTCATATTTGAGGGATTTTGTTGTCGGGTTTTTTTGCGTTTTTTAGATTCTTATATGATATGGGAACATACATGAAAGGTTGAAAAGTGCTTTGCATAAGTTGTCCATTTATTAGAAATAAACAAAGTGTGAAAAATATATATTTTTATAGAAAAAAAATCATTTTCCACGAACTGTGAGTGAATTTTTTGCTCAGAATCAAGATTTGGGAGTTTTTTTGGGTCGCTGATTACGAATCTGAGGTCCAAGTTCCAAAATTAATTTTCCAAGATGGCGGATTCCAGACGGCGGATCATAGAATTTTTATTAAATTAGCTAAACTTGTACTCTGGTTAGTTTTTGAGGTCGCTGATTACGAATCTGAGGTCCACATTCTAAAATTTATTTTCCAAGATGGCGGATTCCAGATGGCGGATCATACAATGTACATAAAATTAGCTAAAATTGTACTCTGGTTAGTTTTTGAGCTCATTGATTACGAATCTGAGGTCCAAATTGTAAAATTTATTTTCCAAGATGGCGGATCATAAAATTTTTATATGATCAGCTGAAATTGTACTTTGGTTAGTTTTCAAGGACGCTGATTACGAATCCGAGGTTCAAAATTCATTGTTCAAGATTGCAGATTCAAGTTGGCGGATCATGGAATTCTATATTTACCTGACATTGTCTTCCGGTTAGTTTTTCAGGTTTTTGACTATAAATCTGAGGTGAGAAATGACGACTTTGAAGTAGAAATTGTGAATGTCGTTTTTAAAATCGCGAATCATAGAATCCCTATATGATCGGCTGATATTGTACTCTAATCATTTTTTCTCTATCATTTTATTTACTGTATTGTGAATCCAAGGTCGAAATCCAAAGATAAACTTCCAAACTTGTGGATCGAGTTATCGCGATTTTTCATATTTGTAGTCGCCATCTTGAATCCGCCATCTTGAATTTTGAAAATCTGATAACGGATTCGTAATCAGTGACCCCAGAAACCCTCGTATATAAATTTTTATGTGATTCGCATTTTCTGAAAAATACGTGCCTTAAAGGGTTAATAGGAAATAACACGTCTGTATTATTGCGATAAACGATCAACAACATATTAACACACTCAGTAGAGGATAATGTTTAAGGTACAGAAGAATTTTTGTGAAAAAGGAAATTCATAAGACGCCAATAATAACGAAATATTAAAAATATTCTGTAAGGGATAGATATGTGAAGGGATAGTTGGGCATGCTTATAATAATGTGGAAATTTGTTCATCTTTATTTATCTTTTTAGTATTTTACATCCTTTTACTAATTATTAACCTTTTTATTAATCCTTTCATTAATTATTAATAAAATAAAACATTTCCACAAGTTTCTTACAGAAACCAAGGACAATGTTGGAAAGAAGGTTGAAAAGTGGCAACACAGAAAAAGGCTCTACGGGAAAACATTGTTTATTAAAGAGAGAAAAGAGAAAGAGATCTATTCGGCATCTTTAAACGAAATAAGAAGCTGTTTAAAACGTATTGAAGTTTTTAATGTTGGATACCCAGGGAAAAAAATGATAAAAATGATCGAATAGATATCGGATCGATGTCTTTTATACGTCTAAAGCACCTAGAAAACGTCGAACCGATGTCCATTGCTTGCTATTTCTCGCTGAGTAAGCTACTCATCTAACCCTGATAAAAATGAACCATCTATCCCGTTTGGAGAGTTCGCGTAAAGATATACCGCGTGAAATGTAGTCTTGATGACGAATTTTGAGGTTAAGTACGTAAATACATTTTTTTAATCGTTTAAGCCCAGGTTTAATGTTGTAACTCAAAATAAACCGTATTCGCAAGGTATTTTTCCGACGTGTGAAATATTTTGGAGGTTAACAGAAACATAAAACATTTATTTCCTCACAATAACAGCGTTTTTGCGCATCAGCAAGAGACACGCCTACTCGTGGCACATCCAACTCACAACTGACCAATCAGCGCTGACGCCTAGCATATATCAACAAAATTATAGCAATTAACCATCTATCCTCTGTGCCCATTTATCCCGATTTACTTTATCACCTTAAGATTCAAACGTTGTTGTAAAATTTTCTTTTCCCATTGCTCATGTTTATAATATGCCAAAATTTAATTACATCCAAAGTTTCATAAGGTCTTGGTGAATTAGTTCGAGATATAAAGGATTAACCCGCGCGGCTTTGTCGAGAGAGATTTCAAACAGTGGCGAGACGTTTTCGTTTCTGCTCAAATTAAGTCCTCCTCCGGAATCTGCGGGTGTTGGACAGTTCAGGTTGAAAGTGGCAGCGGAAAGGCTCAACGTTGGTTTAATATTTTAATGAAAATCCGCATCAATCTATTTGGATTGTCTTTAACGTACGGTTTTGTCGAGCGGTCCTCTCAGAAAGTGGCAAATTACGTATTTTCCGCCATCCCGAGGCGCCGCGAGTGGGACTTTCGTTGCTAAATAAATCATAGGCGGAACGAAGACATAAAGGGGTCTCCCAACTCCGTTGGAGCGAGCGCAAATTCTGTAGGATAATAAACGTCGGGACGGGCAGGTCTGCGTAAAAATTAATAAAGCGTGATAGCCTCCAATCTTCATAAATCTTCGGCCGGTCCCGCTCGGCGAGGAGGAAAGAGAGCGCGCGCGTGCGCGAGAGAGAGAGAGACAAAGAGAGAGAGAGAGAGAGAGAGAGAGAGAGAGAGAGAGAGAGAGAGAGAGAGAGAGAGAGAGAAGGTTCGTCGGGGAATATTTAGAATCCACATTTAGCTTCGAAGAGCTTCATTAATGTCTTCTGCCGCGCGTGGGTAGTTTTCCTATGTTTTGAAGTATTTGATAATTTTGGCACGCCCGACGTTTCACATCTCCATGTCCGCAGCTGCCGCGTTAAAACACCGTCGAGAGATGTCCATGCGAGCGAGCGAGCGAGCGAGCGGCGGACGGATGGACGGGTGCGGAAACAAGTGTAAAATGTTTTATTTTCCCGAAAACATTTCAACTCGAAAATGGTTACAGCGAGAGCGCATCCTGCCTTGGCACGGGCCCAACCGAGCCTCGGCAACTTTGCCGAGTCAAAGGGGACCCTTGTACTTTCGCAACCCCGATAAAGAAGCATTGGAGCGGCCGTTTCTCGAGTGCGCACAACAATATCTCTCTCTCCCCCGTCCCTCCCTCCCTCCCTCTCGCTCGTTCGCTCGCTCTCCCGCCGACGAGCGAATTACTTAAATTCCGCGAGCGCGAAGTGCAGTTTCCAAGTTTAGCGGCGATCGCGCGCGACCATTTCGCCGGGTTCACGAGCGAGCTCGAGCCGCGGAATCTGGATTCGCGCGGCGACTTTGAGAGAGAGAGAGAGAGAGAGAGAGAGAGAGGGGGGCCTCGTATTTGATCTTGAAATTAATCGGAAACAAGCGCGCGACGCGGCAGCGCGAAATCGCCGGCCAGGATTATTAACGGCGGACCGCGTAATCGGATTTTCCTCGCCGTGTGCGATCCGATCGAATCGCGCTCGTCGTGTTATTTGCCGGTTTATTTGCGGTAATCTCCCCCCTCCCTCCCGAGGAGAAGGGGGAAATCTCCACGAGCAGGGGTATCCCGCGCGGGGAATGCCTCGCCTGTTTCTTTCTTTTTCTTTTCTTTTTTCTCGTTCCCGAGGCAGCTGTGTGCAAATTCGACGATAACTTTTCCACTCGAGCCGGAGAGAGGAGAAATCGCGTCTCGTATCGGCGCTATTTTTCACACGGAACGATGAGTGAGGGGGATGCGGAGGGAGAAGAGATTATCGGAACTTGCTCGAAGCAATGTCTCACGCGGTCTGCGAGAGTCTGAGGCAATGAGTAACTGTTGGCAAATTTGTCGCAATGTAACGAGGAATAATTTGGATTATTTTATATAAATTTATTGACGTGAGAGAGAGAGAGAGAGAGGGAGAGAGAGAGAGAGAGAGAGACCTTCACGGGTAATTCAACACCCAAAAAAAATATTCTATTTGTAAAGTGATTTTTCTCATAATCTCATATTCTAAGCGAAGCCTCTTACAAAACAAGGATTCCTCTTTCGATAAAGCGATTAAAATGAAGCATTTATTTAAAATTTATGTTTTGGATATTATTCCAACTGTTTTCCTCTTATTTTTCAAGAGGATTTCCTCTCATATAAATTAATTTTCCTCTCATGTGAAGAGGGGGATATGTTGATTTGAATGTTGGCTTCTTTTGTCCAGTCATGCTCCAGACATGAACGAAAAAATAACCATATGTTCATGGCTCAGAATATTCGGAAAAAGCATTTGAAAAAAGATATGTGTGTTGCTGTAGTATATATAATGAAAACAATTTATCCATATTTGGTCAAATACAGTTTATAATCTATAGCAACAAGTTGAATAATATATACTTTCTTTTAACTATGTTTCATACAATTGGTTATGATGAACATCTTTGTAGCTATGAAGTCTATAACAAAACTGATTGGAAATTTGTTTGTTATGATGATCTTGTTTCATTCGCGCCTATTTATTGTAGAACTGGAACCAGAAGTACATCCATATATATATATATATATATATATATTACTTTTCGCTGTACATAATAATAATTTTTTCAAATTAACTAGTATAACTAGTAAGAATAAAGTACAGTAAGGATAAATGATAATCCTCTTAAAAAGAGATTAAACAATCTGTGTATAAGAGGAAACTTATATTAAAATCAGTAAGATTTGCATTATACATATAACTTATAATCCCTCTAACTTTAAGAATAATGTGTTTATAATATTTTCCTCTTAATCTTAGAGGAATCCTCTTGAGGCCATATATAAGAGTAAAATATATAAGAGTAAAATTCTCTAAAATTTATATGATTCCATTTGTTCTGAAATTACTCTTTTTTGGGTGTAATATAATAAATTTGCTTCGCAAACGTGAGAACAAATAAACAATTACAATACACAAATTTTAAGAATCCTGTTATGCCGAAATTTACTTGAGACGACGTGTCGTGTAATATGAGAATCCGTGGGTAACATTTTGCCACTACTCTTTCTGCAGCTCTTTTTTCTGAATTAAACAAAAAGCTCACATTATTATAGAATGTAAATTTCTCGGCGCAGATTTAACGAGCGATTTAATCCAACACATATTTCAAAAAACCACCAAACTTTCAATCATACCGACTGCCTCTCGCGATAAATTCGCCGCAAATTTGATGCAAAAAAAACGACAAAAAAAACGATAATAAAAGAGGAACTTGCAGAGTTTCCGTCGCCGATTGCCTCCGCCCGACGACGCGCGCTCGTTCCCCGTCGCGATCGACGGTTAATTGGACTTCCGGCCGCGGTCGACGCGGAGACGCGCCGCTCGCGGATATTTTCGTGCGCTTTCCCCGAAATTGTCGTCGTCCATTTTTCGTCCGCCTCGTTTTCGGAAGCCAGCGCTTCCGAGACCTCGCGGACGGATCCGTCGGTGTCTCGGTCAGACTAATCACTTCCGCGCTCTCTTTGCCCGGCACTCCGAAAAGAAAGAAAGAAAGAAAGAAAGAAAGAAAAGAAAGACAGCAACGAGCGGGAAAAGGGGTCGGCGGCAGGGGGAAGGGGGGAGAGGCAATGGCCACGACTTGATTGGGACATCAAACGTGAGACGAGAGAAGCAAAATATGCGAAGCTGGCCGGGAAGAGCGCGCTCGCGTCGTAAAGATCGTAAAGATTTTCGGCCGCGGCTCTTTGGCGGCCGCGGCTTCCGAGAATATCCCGCCGCGCGCGGAATTTGGGAAGCTCCCCGACGCGCCTGCGAAGGACCCTCGGGCGAAGAGCGTGCACAAACTCGCGAGAACGCGGCCGCGATGTCTCGTCGTCTGAGGCGCGCCTTCGAGAGACCGCGACGACGAGACGAGACGAACGAATCCTCCCTTTCCAGAGCGTCGAGGCGCGGCACGCCGGCCATGCTGTTCTGAAACGTTTCTTTCGTCGGGCCGAGCATCAGCGGACCACCAACGACCGGCGGGGGTGCGCGAATCCGACGGGGCCGCCCGCGTCGCCGAGGACGCGCGGCGATGTCACGCGAGCGGCCGACCGACCGACGAGAGAGATCCTCGCGACGGGGTCCTCCGCGAGGAGGAGCGCGAGTGAGAGCGAGGGTGCAATGACGGCGGACGAGTGCTCAAGGACGATCTCATCGGCGGCGGTCGCGTGCGATTGAAAGAATCGGCCGAGGGGACGAGAGAAAGAGGGAGAGAGAGAGAGAGAGAGAGAGAGAGAAAGCGAAAGAGAGAGAGAGAGAGAGAGCGAGGGAGAGGGAGCGGGGGAGGACGGCGTCTGAGCCGCTCCACCATTATCTTTGCCGAAGGAAGAGGAAGAGCGCGAGGACACTCGAATGCCAAGGACGAAGGCCGGAGCTGAGCCGTTCGAGTGCAGACGCTAGCGGTGAAAGTTCAAAGGAGAGAGCCTGCGCCCCCCGGCGGGGGCGGGGGCGACGGACTCGGGGTGGTTTAGCGGAAGTGGCCCAAGTGTGATAAAGGAAAACGGGGGGAGGAAGCGAGCGAGACGATTCTCTTCTTCTCCTCCTCCCCTTCTCTCTCCTTCTCCGTTCATCGCGCGGCGAACGTCATCCATGGGTGCTTCCGGGAGCGCGCGACGAGCTGAGCCGAGCGGAAGCTCGCCGGGAGGACAGACCCGACGGAAGATGTAGGGTCCTGCGAGCGAGGAAGCGCGTCCGCAGGACATACTCCAGGACGGCGTCAGCCGAGGGCAGCCCAGGCTACCCCCCGCGCGCCCGTGCCGGTGCCGTTCGGCACGGTGCAAGATGCTGGACATATTCCGCGGCCTCAAGAGCCTCATTAAAATCTCGCACATCCACACCGACAGCGCAGTCTTCCGGCTGCACTACAGTCTCACGGTGATCCTGCTGATCAGCTTCTCGCTGATCGTCACCACGCGCCAGTACGTCGGCAACCCGATCGACTGCATTCACAGCAAGGACCTGCCCGAGGACGTGCTCAACACGTACTGCTGGATACACAGCACCTACACCATCACCGCGGCTTACCGGAAGCGCGAGGGCTTCGAGGTGCCGTTCCCCGGAGTCGACAACAGCAAGTCGTACCCTGACTCCGAGAGAAAGGAGTACCGCTATTATCAGTGGGTGTGCTTCATGCTGTTTCTGCAGGTAATCGGTCGACCGCGCTTCTCGCGATTCGCGAGGACGAGTATGGAGATGGAGATCCCCCCTCCCGAGAGGGGGGATTTTAGAAAGTGGGGATGGTTTTCCTCAAACAGCGATAATATCGCGAACACCGAGGCGATATCTCGGAATGTAATCTCGCCGAGAAGAAAAATATACGTTGCATCTTCCAGCAATGTTTCAAGTGTATTTTTCAGAAACTTATACGGGATGTTCAACCCTTAGATACTAGGATGGCTGAAAATTCAGCCGATGGTATTTCTTAACTGTACACAGCGGTGCCCCGCTAGGACATTCATAATGTTCATAAATATTTATGGTTTATGTACAATCAAAAAAATAATAAACAAATTGTGAGTAAAAATCAGTAATGGAAAGTAAAAAACACATCTTGGTGTTCAAGGATTAAAAAGGATCTGTTATTTAAGAGCAGATATTACTCACAAAATGGGGGAAAAGGGTCGAAAAATGAATGTTGTCAGAGTTACGAACGATTATTTGTTTTAATTGAAGCGAGTGACTCACCCGCGCGCGAAATGCACTTCTGCCGTTTACTTTATTGGAGTAATAAAGATGTCGTTCTTATCGTCCTGTGAAAAAATTTTTAATGGCTTTCTGCAGTTGTTCGCGAGAATGTGCGATTAAAAGTTGTTTGAAGCGTGCGGATAAATGAGAAGAAAATTCATATTTATTTACATCCCGAGCATGAACGAAGAAACTTTTTTAGAGATTGCTTTGAAGTATGGCACTCTTTACCGATAATTAATATAGAAAAATTACATGACAGAAGACAAAATCAGAAGCAACTAAGTCGCTTGAATTAAAACAAATAACTGTTCCTAACTCCGATAATATTAATTTTTTAGCTCATGTTTATCAGGACCTTTCCTCCATGTCTTTTAAACGCCCTGTATATTCACAAATCTATCACAAGTTTCATCATGAGCATAAAATAGTATTAAATTAGAACAAAAATTCGGTTCGCTTTTCTTATACTAGAACATAAATAAAGTTTATATGAGGTTAACTCTTTATATAAGTTTCGTAGTATTTTTGAAAAGAACAGTAATTTAAAGAATAATATAAAGTAATAATTAGAAAAATAGATTAAACAAATAAGGGTGATAAAAAATTTAAGGAGAAATAAAAATAAAAATAATAATTAGAAGAAAATGATAATATTCTCGGAAAGAAAATAAACTCTCTTCTTGTTAACGAGCTTTCCAAAGTTTCTGACAAATACATCTTGGGATCATTATCAAGAAAGCTTTGGAAATTTACTTTTCTCTCTTAAAGTAACAATTGCATTACTTAAGAAGAGTAAAGTAAACTGGGTAATTATTTTCCTCAGAAGTAGCACGATATTTCTCCCCGCGTACATTTGTATTCCAAGGAGGAAAACTTCAAAAAATAACACGTACAAAGATGTCTCGTAATATCTACTCACTCGAGTATATTTGAGCACGCCGTATTCAAATAAGCAGATATTAAGCCAGCCGACTATCTCGAAAAATTTGCGTTTTACAAAAAAAATGCTTCAAATAAAAAGTATCTGTTTTGATCTCTACTTTCATATAAAACAATGCAAAATGGGGATTTCCATTAAAAGAAATAAAGTCGACCTTCGCTTGACCTACAATAGCGCTATCTACAGTAAAACTGACAGCGCCATCTTGTGTCCCCCTTGCTATCAGACGAATCTTCTCTGAAACATTTTTTCACAAGATGCAAATTTTATGAGATATTTGTCATTAACGTTATATAAATGCTTCACTCTACATATAAGAAAATTTCAATATTTCAGTAAAATTGTATTGGGGACTTGAATAAGTTCTCGCTGTTTCCCGACAGATGGTGTTATCTTAGCCTTTTTGCATCGGGCAATACTACAGCCAACTTCATCGCTTCACAATTAGGCTCGAAGTGACAGTATATGTTATTCCGCCGAAGCGTAAACAACATATTTTTTCATAGCGTTAAACATGTCGAATTTCGTGCCAAAAAAAGAGTATTTACGGGGAATTTTACTGCATTACATTTTTCAAAAAAAAAAATCTGCAGCTGAAGCACATAGAATTCTTGTGGAGACTTACGACGACCATGCTTTGTCGGAAACAACATGCAGAGATTGGTTTAGACGCTTTAAAAATAATGATTTTGATGTTGAAGATAAAGAACGCTCCGGCGCACCGAAAAAGTTTGAAGACGAAGAATTGGAAGCATTACTCGATGAAGACTCATGTCAGACGCAAAATGAACTTACAGAATCATTAGGAGTTGATCACACAACAGTTGCCAAACGTTTAAAAGCATTGGGAATGATTCAAAAGCAAGGAAATTGGGTGCCGTACGAATTGAAGCCGAGAGACGTCGAACGGCGTTTTTTCGCCGTGTGAACAGCTGCTCCAACGGCAGAAAAGGAAAGGGTTTTTGCATCGTATCGTGACTGGCGATGGAAAGTGGATACACTACGATAATCCGAAGCGTAGAAAATCGTGGGGTAAGCTCGGTCATGCATCAACATCGACGGCAAAGCCGAATATCCATGATTCCAAGCTCATGCTCTGTATTTGGTGGGATCAGCTGGGTGTAGTATATTATGAGCTTCTCAAACCCAACGAAACCATCACGGGAGATCGCCATCGACTACAATTGATGCGTTTGAGCCGAGCATTGAAGGAAAAATGGCCGCAATACGAGGAGAGACACGACAAAGTAATTTTGCAGCATGACAACGCTCGGCCACATGTTGCAAAATCAGTCAAAACCTACTTGGAAACGCTCAAATGGAAAGTTTACTACCCCACCCATCGTATTCACCGGACATTGCTCCTTCCGATTACCACTTGTTCTGATCGATGACTCATAGCCTGGCTGAGCAGCACTTTCATTCTTATGAAGATGCCAAAAAAGGGGTCGATTCGTGGATAACCTCAAAAGATGAGTCGTTCTTTCGATATAGTATTCGTATGCTGCCAGGAAGATGGGAGAAAGTAGTGGCTAGCGATGGACAATATTTTCAATGACACGTTCTTTATTAATTTTTTAAAATAAAGCATTCATTTTCACGAAAAAAACAGCGAGAACTTATTCAAGTCCTCAATATCTTTTGAGATCGCGCCTCAGATTTCGCTGTTCGGTATTACGACCTTTCAGAAATTGTCCTACTTTCTAAATCTCGACAGATTCCTTTACGGAAACGGAACGGCATGTTCCGTTTTTTTCGTCCACTTTTCGTCCACTTCTTTCCCTCCCCATCAGCGTTCTCGAAATCTCAGCGGGGGAAGAGAGGGCGCGTTTCTTTTTCCCATATTCGACGGTCCGAGTAAAAAATTATTAGGGTCATCCTCATGAAGCATAAGGTCCCGATAAGGTTGCAAATAGGATGCCCTGAAAAGGGACGCCTCATTATTACCTCATATCAGGCCTCGAGATGAATTTATTAGGAATACCTTAAGTTTTATAAAATAATAGGCTTTTACAGGGAAAACTGAAAAAGGCCTTAGGAGAATTTTTTAGGGATGCCTTAGATTTTACGAAATAACTTTAACATAGAAAACTGATGTGGGCCTTGGAAGAATCTTTTAAGGATGCTTTATACAAAATCAAGTTATGTTATAGAAAATTAATAAAATCTGAAACGTGTAATAAAATTATCATAGTTTAGTATTATTTTAGTAGGTACGCTCTATTTGATTCTTTTGAAGATTTTTTAATTATACCGCAATTAAAAACAAATTTTATTAATTTCATTAGTTGCTATATTCATTAGTCCTTTCCAAGAATTTTACCTAGTATTTCTTTCGTTTTGAAATGCAGCAGACTTTAATAAAAAAACTTTAATAAAAAAAACAGTAGCAGGATTTTTATGTGTAAAGAATGCTACATTTTATCGTATAAAGTATACTACATTTTTAAAACAAAAAATTCTTGTTGTACACTAACAAGGTGATAAAGAAATAAAGAAATTGCAGTCTAAATTTCTTGAAAAGAAATGAAAAGAACGTATATTTTTACTCGGGTAATAATAAAAATATTTCCTCCGTAAAAGGTTCTATTGATACTGCCTTACAAGGAACCGTTAAATCATTTCTTACACATCTTGTAGAGCCCTTGTCTTTCTATCCCTACTAGGGCTCGATTACTGTTAGGGAAAAATAATCAAGCCCTTACCAGAGCCTTATTCATTTTTCTACTCGGGGGGCTCGTGTGATGCGCTGGATATCGCGTCCGAGACACTTGAGTTGCCGCCGGCTGCTCGAGCGGCGTATCGTTGATTAGACGAATAAAACAGCCAGAAGACCTGGCCGTCTTTGCCCGGTTTAAACACGCGGTTTCCGTGCGGCTCGTAAAACATATCGGTGCTTTTAGTAGCACTGCGCCGCTCATAAGCGCCTTCTACCCGCGACCGTTCCTAATCGTTCGGTACGTCGGCTCAGCTTGGCCCCAACCTACCTACCTACCCACCTACCCACCTACCTACATATCAATCGCAAAGACTTGTGCATCTAGTCCATTGCCAAGAGAGAAACCCTAAGCGGTAACAATGCGTTAAAGTTCGTCATTGAAGGCTGGTGCCACGTGCAGTCGCGCCTCGACGCGACGCGCTCGATGAAAAACGCTGGCGTCGTCTGCTCGCCGCTCTCAGCCTTGGCGAAGACCGTTTTCTGCGACTTCGGGGACATTTCCGCTCACTCGGAAAAGCCCGTCGCACCAGCGCCGTTTGTTTCGGAGCCCGGGCAGATTCCGCTCGTCCGCAAAACCGCGCGTCGCAGCGCCGCGATGATCGATGAAACGTCATTACGTCGTTAACTCCTTCATTGCGACACCTCCACCGATGTAGTTGCGATCAATATTGCACCCCACGGTTGGAGCCATCACGAAGGACGCCACTTCGACGACCGCATTCGTCTCGGGTGTAGTTTCGTATTACCTCGCGAGAGAAGAAACACACGCGACATTCTGAGTTGTTAATCAGAGAAAGC